ATGTGGACAGTAATAGAGTCCGATTACCAGGAAACAGAACCAAACCATCAAAAGCATACGGCAATATTGTTCATACCCTGACACGCAATTTTGAACCTCAAATGACGCTCCTTCATCGTTACGTCGGAAATATCAAATATCATCTATAATTCTATAATGTAGGCGCACTCTCATCAGGTTGACATCCACCTGGCCTAGCTACAATGAATGTAGTTAACAAACCTGACTTGGTTATTGTCATCAATGATACTAACATTTATTCTCAATATTATAGAAATTTGCCTTATGGGCTCCGTTCCGACCAAAAACAACGAGTTGTTTTATTTAATTAAAGAATTGTCAGCCGTCCTTGCTAAGACCAATCTCCGATTTTAGTCGCTTTGCAAAACGGGGTCTAGACCGTTCTAAGCTGGACCTGACGTGAATCTAACTAGAGCACTACCTAGGCTTGGTGAGAAACCTGAGTCCCAGACGTAAATGCAAACTGATCTGACGCCGAGACGCCATTTCTGTCCTCTTGTTAAAACCACGTGTAGGCGTGTTTGTTCTCCCGCTAACGATTCCCAGTAATTTACCTGATACCGGAGGATCAGCTTCCAAATCAATATATCCTCCGGTAAGTATAATTAAAAGAAAACAAATAAATACATGATGCAAGGACACGTGAAATTGGAGAGAGGCAGTTCCGGCCAGGCCCACTCCCAAAGAATAAAAGCCATACCAATATACATATGTAAATGGTCTATACTCGTCTTCCTATACACGCATGACTTCGGACACGCACGCAAACTTCCAGACACACTGCCTTTTCTTTCTTCCCAAGACTTGGCAAAGTCTGTGTCTGACACTGCTTGACAGAGATATTTGTTGTACTTTAAAGACATGTATCATTGTTACACATATACACAATATAATTTACAAGAACCATGGGTAAGCCGCATCTAGTTATTTCCAAGAGCCGATCTTTCAATATCAGGTAACTACTATGAATCGTGACCAAATCCTGGTCTACTTTGATTGCTGAAAGCCTGATCAAATGAAATACTGCATCTGCTTTATATGTATAAACAGTACTATTTTAAGCAATAGTTCTGTTTTCGTGGACTTCGATTATGGGCTTGTTCTGAAGTGAAATACTCAAAATTTTAGTCTCGAAGTTAGCACTGCGTTTCGGTTTTAAGTCCTTTGGTGACACCTGTGTCATGTACGAGAGAGTTTCCTGGGATACAAACACCGAATCCCATTGATTTGTTCAGGTAAACCCCGTCCTAGATTTTGACCCATTTACGTCTCACTGACCCTGACATGTAGGAACCTAATGGAGGGTGGACTATCTGCTACAAGGCTCCATATATCCAGTTTGACCTCTGCCTGTCCCTATTGAAGGAAATAATAAGATCTTTATTTAAATAAGCGTTATTATTCATTCCTTAATCTGTAGCAAGGTGCCGTCAAAGGGGGGGGGGGGGGGTAACTACGTTTTTATCTGCAGTTATTTATGCCGATCTGATCTAAATTCTGCGTGTATCAGAAGAAGAACCACCTTTAACTAAGATAATTGTGTCCGGTATTCTCTACATTTTTTCAATGATTTAAACAGAAACTCTCGTCGGCAACAATATCAAAGGATAGCTGACTCGGATGTTCAGTGGTTAGTGGCGGAGAGGGGGAGGGGGGGCACATGAAGTAGGGGTCGCTTATATAATTATAGAAAACAATGTGTGTTTGTGTGTGTGTGCGCGTGCGTGCGTGCGTGTGTGCGCGTGCGTGCGGTGTGTGTGTGTGTGTGTGATGATATACAATGGTTAATTTTATTTCATGTTTCTACGGTCTTTTGTTTTAAATAGTCTTTTTAAGCCCGCTGTATCATAAACAATTCTACCAGTATATAATTGAGCCCGCTCACACGAAACAACTATCATTTGTGACATAACGCATGATTTGCCATCTCATTATTTTTGTGCGAATATGAATTGTGATCTCATTAGCCTGTGTGAAAAACGCCAGGTCCAATAACGCAAGTGGAAATTGAATCCCCCATTGTCTTGTGTGCCGACTGCGTGGCTTGATACGGCTACCGTAATGTTGGCAAAGAACGGCATATACCGGGTAACTGAAGTGGACAAGATATCGGCTTCACTCGACCGAGTGTGTTAACACAGCAATCCTAAACTGGCGTCTATAATCACTGTTGATATAGTCCCCTTGCGCACTACCTATCCCAAATGGTTCCACTAGACGCGATATTTTTTCTTCCAGCAGTTTTATTTAAGCATTAGCTTTCCAAAAGTCTGTAACCTTCCGGGGCGGAGCTACCCAAGTTTCAGAGGTCACTGGAAACATACTTCTCTGACGCCTGCAGGCCTCAGCCATTTTCACTCATATAGGGCTCATTCCCAATTATACTATTGTTCGACGTGGATCGATCCAATTCCTTGGGGACTCTAGCTGTGAGCAATCATATTAATGGATTAACATGCTCTCCTTTGTTTTCAACGTACTAGTTTAATCACCAGCTTTTCTGTTTTCTATATCTGACTGCATTCAGCGAGAGTCCTTGCGAAGTTGGATCGAACTACGAGGAACGACAGTTTCATTGGGAATGAGCCCACAGATACAGAAACCACTGAAACTCAGGGTGGGGGCGGAGGTGAAAAATATAAAAACACTCCAAATTTGATTTAAAATATTTCACATTAACCTGTCAATATCTCTCTTTTCAGCCGTTACTTAGTGAAGGTATATATGTCAGTATTAAAGTGCCATTCAGTCATGCCGCGCCCCTTTTAGTAGCAAATTGATTTTATAACGGACGATCATACTATCGTACGTTATCCGCACTAATCAATGGTAACTCAATGTAGAGATATTACGACTGTGTATAAGAGAATCTGTGGGGGAGGGGGTGGGCTTATGTGCCACCTCAGAAAATAATTAAATAATTATGGATTATCGATAGGAGACCTTCCCAATGTTTTGAGTTAAAATAATCCCTTTTAAAATACCACTTGAAATATTGTTAGGAAATATGCATTGCGTTAACGTCTAGACGAAATAAACTGACTAAAAGCATATTCATATTATTACGAACAATTTACCCCCCTCTCTCTCTAAACGCACATGCCCACGCACGCACGCACGCACGCACAAACACACTTCCACGGAAACCACTCTCCCATCAAAATAACACCTTTGCAGCGAACAACAGACTCGCAATATTTCTAATAATGGGATTCCCATTCATAGACACCTGTGTGTCAAACACGTGCTTACCACAATAACAATACATTACTTTTATCGTGTCAAAAGAAGTCATATGATTTGCTGTAATAATAAGTTCATTTTCCAGAGCTGTAATGTGCTTTCCACGCGCAAAACTGCTGAGCACGTGGTGCGTTGATTTCCTCTTTTTTGTTTGGGGGGTGGGGGGGGGGGGGTTGCGCTGTAGTTATGTGCAGTTAGCTATCTGCTTATCCATATTCACTTGTACAGGTTACAAGTTCTCGTTGTCTGTTTGATATGACTGTATTGAAATCTGGCAATTAATATCGTCGAAGTGGGTTATGTTTTCCCACCCACACTCACCTCCAGCCAACTCTGAACTGGAATCGCCTCTACGTACACGTAATGAAGCAATGATTATAAATATAATGATGACGTAAGTAAGTCCCGAGGCACGTTTCTCAAAAGTCTTTTATTAATTAAAATTCTTTAAAAATTCCATAATGTTGGCAATAATAGTGTAAATTAATTTAACATTGTGCCAGCTTAATAATGATAATAATAATAAAGAAACGGTTGTTTAATTTTAGTGGTTTGCTACAGATCTAATCAGAATTTAAATGGACCGATATTTTTGGTGTTAACTTTAGGGTCAATATTTGGGCCGAAGTTGTTTTCAGAGCGGGCCCTAAGTGCTGTATTAACTGTCTGATTTATAAATTCTTGGCAAAATAATCTCGGTATCAATGTTTATAACAAATTATGTCAGATTACGCAACTGAGTGATTTATGAGCACTATCTAGAATTGGAAACTTAAAATGTATATACATTAACCGACTTACGCAACAATCGTAAATATATACAGACTAAACAGGAGTTCACATAAGTCCTTTGGAACCTGTTTTAAAGGTTTCAAATAATGGGCTTTGAACGAAGATGGCAATGACGTACGGAAAGACCTTTAACTGCGTTTTCAAAGACGTGCCATACAAATTTTTCTTAGTTTGAGATAATACACTGTCACCTAAGCGATACGTGCCAGAACACTTTGAGCGTCAGCAAGGTGATCAAGGCATACATTCCGCGACAAGGGTGACAGCGTATTTTATGACGAGAGTACTTGCGTTGCACCGAAAAGCACCCCTGAAAGTGAATAAAGCTCATATCGCTACGGTCACATAACATCTTTAGGTATGTTTTATTACTTCTATAGCACGATAAAGAGAAAGCGTCTTACGTAAATTTTATGATATTCTTGTACTCACGCCATTTGTCCCATTGTTGGAACATTCAGGGGAAGCGACCGTTTATCCAAAAGTCGTCTGCTTTTTAATTTTGCGTCATTCCCACATCAACTTAAACAGCCTTAAAGCAGTGTTTAACCGCTTCCTTTTTCAAAATAAATCTTTTAAATCAAAGTAAAATCGAACAATTTTTCCTTTAAATGGAAGGGGCAACTGGGTGTGTTTGACAATGAATCAGTTGAAATACCTGTAAGTAATTACAGATCAAGGCAATTTTACATTTTTCCATCTGTTAAAAACTATCGGCAGACACATTCAAGATCAATCAGTCTCATCTCTCATTATTCACCTCGTATAGCTGTCTCGAAATATTCACTTTAGTAAAGAAAATTACTTCGGATCTGATATTTGATCAAGTGAAAATAGTCTACAATATGGTTGTTATGGATACTTAGTTTTTAGACAATTGTTTTGTCAGTTAAGATTGTTCGGTACCGAATGAATAACAAAAGAACCAATTTGTAACATACACTTTTTATTAAACCCGCCCTCGTGCAGACGCACGTGCCCTCTATCAGAGATTTTGCACATATGCTTCAATCTTTCTTCGAGTTGCTCATTGTAATATATCACTAACAGTGGAGAAATGTTACAGTCCAAGGAAGAGATCCCATCTTTTAACATCGGGAAACAACTGCGTCGATTCTGTATTAGTTGACATAGCAACAGTTTCTCATCTCGGGCGAGAAAACCAGAAGAATTACGTATTATCAGTATTCAGCATCTGCACAACATTCTCAGTCTTATAACCAGTCAATATAAGTACATTTTTTATCTACCTCGATCTCTACCGCATAGATTAATGAGTCCATACATAAACGCGAATTGCCCGAACCCAACCAATTCCCAGAGGATTTGGCGGCAATAATGGGCTATTATCGTCACCAGAAGCAGAAGACGAGCATAAATGTGAATGAATAAACAGAGCAATGTAGAACAAATGTATAGCCAATTTTCCAAAGTGTCTAGTCGTGCAGGCTGCACTCTGTCCGTAATACAGTTGATTTGGTTTTTATGTCTGTCAGGGTGAGAAAGCCATGTAACATCGACTCGCTGAAAGCGTTGTAATAAGATTGGTAATAACTAGAAAGGCATTAAAAGAGTGGAGACCTCAACCAAGACAAATAATTGACTAATAATTTACCATTAATTAATTAAACAATTAAAGGGTCATCATCAAAATGTAATCACATTTATGTCTGCCAATTTCTGACTTATCCTGAAAATTTCGTCAAAAACTGTCTGTTACTGTTTGCATACTTTTGCTATCAGACAAACTAACAAAAATATTCCTGGCAGAAGTGGTAATAACTATATATATATATATATCCCTTGTGCACTGCAACATTACATTAAGTTCTAACATACATTAGGATTGTAAAATAACATACTGGTGCAAAATCTTACAAAAGTAACAAGATATTTCTACATTTTTATCAATAATCCGACACCTCTCTACCCACCCAATAAATTTACATCTTCATATCCTTTGCAGAACCTGCAGTGGTGTGCTTTGGCTGTAGAGATGAGCATACATAACATTAAAATAATAATAAAAATAAAAATAATAATAATAATAATAAAAATAATAATAATAATAATAATAATAATAATAAAACGGAACCAATAAATCAAGTATAAGTCATTATACGTTACATGTTTCCTGGTTCCAAAGAGTTCTGTTTATTAATGTTTTAGTGATAATAATCACTTAAATAGGAACAAAATATTTATGAAACAACAGTCAGTCTGTTGCTAGTCTTGTGACAAGAGTGAAACAGTATTTCATGTATAATTTGTTCCAAAGTAACTGATCATTATCACTAAAATGTTAGTAAATAACTAGAAGAAAGTGAATATATCGATTCATTCAATTCATCATTTACATAATTTAGCTTTCTGGTACATATCTTCTTTAGGGTGAAGCCATTACAGATCTTTTTCATTTCTTGTTCATTTCCAATCTTCAAAATGACCAGTACAAACACCTTTAATATCATGAACTCCTTTCATTTTCTACCATTCATTTGTTATCTTGTAGTATATAGAAGAGTTTTTGATAGAAATTCTAGAAGACCATACAGGATTCCATCCCTGTTTGCCAAAACACTTCAACAACAGCACAGCTTTTCTGATGAACGGCTACATTCAACCTTGACAATGGACCTAAATGTAGCGTTGACCTTGTACTGTTAACAACCATGACCTTTTTTCCATGAAATTCTGCTATGGCTTGGACATTCATTTGTCAACATCGGGGCTTTCTTGACTGGCTGTTGGAAACGAGGCTTCAAATTTGATTGGCTGACACTCCAATGTTCGGAGATTTAAAAGGACGCAGGTGTTTGTGGTGCTAAAACGAGGGATTGTAACCAGGGTGATTTCCTGTCCTGCTGGACCTACAAAGAATATAAGATATGTTGTTTTATTTATATATATATATATATTCAAAGCAGAAATACAAAGCAGAAAAGCTGTCAAATGTACAAATCATATCAGTAAAATAATTGTTTAAATATCCAGTGGTGATATCAGGTGACATATTGACATCCTGTGAATTGAAATAAACTGTGTGGTGCATAAACTAATTGGCAATGGAGAATCATTTATCACAGCTGTTTTTTTATCTTCTCCTGTTTATGAGTTCTTGAAATAAGACAATATATCCCCGATTGATTACATTTAAGTGTTACAAATCACTTCAGTTAGTTAATATTGACTCGTACATCAGTATCATGAACCAGTCTGATAAGTTAATACAGGAAATAAATGTCTTGGTTTTGCATTTGCTGCATTATAGCCTAGATTACATTTACACGGGCGCCGTGCGATGAAATTGTCTGCATAATTTTTTTTTGAAATCATAAGGAGCTACCGGCTACGTCCACTATGTCTACATTACATGGCCTTAAATCAGTATGATTCCGTGCAATTTCGCACGGCCACCATCTACCTCCGCTCAGAAGACCACGAAAAAGGATATTATGGGCAGTATATGTGCACCGTACGGGCATCACACTTCAAATGTCATCTAGGCTTAAGGATTGTATACAGTATATCGTTTACAGTATGTATGAATAGCATTAGCAATCAAATCTTTTTCTATGACATAAAAATGGACATGTTGTGTCTTTCTAAAACAAGGTATCTCCAGTTTACATGGCTGAAAGATGTAAAAACTGATTCCTTAAAAAACATCTTAAACCATATGACCATATTTATACCATATGAAAAAAAATCTAAATGACTAATGAAAAATCCTGAAAATGGGCATAACCCTGAAAGTGAAAACTTTCGCCCATGAGTTTACATGCTGGTGGTACAAAAAAGACAAAACTATCACAAAAAAGGAACAATTGGCCAATTTATCTGGGTCAATAACCACTCTACTGAATAAAAAAAATTGGCGTGCAAAACAGTGCCATTTGTACAGCTGTGCAAAAAGACTGCAATTCGACAGAACCAGAAAATTATCTATGGACAAATTGTCAGCTTAGTCTGCTATTACTTCTCATCTCGCCCTTTTCTACCCTGATTTTTACCAATTCCTAGAAAGACCTACATGACCTTTAAAAGGGACAAAGATTCTCATACCTTATGGTTGCATAAAAAGGAATAAATAAATTAAATACAAAATTGGAATTAATAGATTACTTATACACAACCGTTTTATCTTGATTTGGAGGAGGATAACAAATTTATACATATTATTCAAACTGATATCACCTTTCTCTGGTGTGCATTAGGAAAAATGTTACCAAAAACAGAAAACCACACGAGTGTCAGTTTTTCTCCCCCCCCCCCCCCCCTTTTCACATTGGTCTGACCATAACATCTTAAACTGGTGCCTTTCATCTTTAAAAAAATCCAGGAAATACAGAATATTCCCAGAACAGGAAAACTGCTTCTTACCCTAGCTAGGTGACTGCACATTTCCTTTCTTTTGATTAAAAATACTGTTAGGCTTCCTGAGTTTCTATTCAAACAGTACCTTGAAATAGCTTGCTATGAAAGTATAATTTCTAATGATCTTAATAAACATCAGACAAAACATGGAATCGGCATAGAGTGTGAGTGGGAGAGATGCCTGCCTGGTGGGTGGGTGTGTGTGTGGAAGGGAGGGAGGGAGAGAGAGAGTGAGTATACATATTTCATTATACCAATATTTTAAAAAAAGTCAAATCTAAACCCATTACAGGTGATTGCACTTGAACACTGTCTAGGTAAAGAGACTGGCAGCCAGCATTCTGGGAAAAAGTTAAACCACCTGTTTCTTTGAAAAACATTACAGCAATTAATTTGGACAGTTATCTCCCTGGCATTCATTTTGTACAGTGAAAAGGTGAGAGTGCAATGAAATCTTTTAATGTTTAATAGCTTTGATGATGAAAAGAATTGTCTAATGATGCAAATAATTGTACAGGACATAAATCATCAAAGCAAACCTTTACATAATCTACACAACATAGGTATCAGTTCATTTTTACAAATTTAGTTAACTTATAAAAGACAGTGGTATCCTAATCACTTACAGTGTTAAGTACCAGTATTCAACAAAAAAGCATTATAATAACAAATTTGTAGATGTGGTGTTAAAAGAAGAAAAAATAAATAAATAAACAGACCATGTATATAGAGACTAAAGCTTCACTGGTTTAAAGACACGAGGTGTGGGGTGTGGGTGGGTGGGGTGGGGGGTGGGGATCACCGGCACATGTGGACACACAAACCACATCATATGCATTTCTTTGTTATAGATTTGAGTGTTTTTATCATAACCAAAGTATTAAATATGTTGTATGAAGAATATGTATCAACAATTTCCTTGACAAGAAGCCAAGAGGAAGAACATATAATCTAGATATCAATATCCACTCACGACAAACCGCATTCTTTAATAATAGTGTTTCTGAGAAACTCATTCAATGTTTACAACAACAAGCGCCATTATATTTGATGGCTTTTCAACCGCATTAAACTAACAAACGATTCACATAAACCTCGCTGACATTTACCTCATCTGACATGATACCAGCACTGGTTAGAATGTCAGGAACAAAGCTAGACGGAGTAGGCTTTTATTATCTTAACTGACGCCTGACGTCTCCTGAATAATGCCTATGTACTTTTTGACTGTATGAACAAGAAAAGATTGCAGAAAATTAATATCTCCTGAAATCATACCATAATTTCTCTTGAATACAATTTCTTAATATCAACAGCACATGGTTTAAGGTGGGAGAAAACTTCATCTGATTCATTATTTTTTTCCTTTTGTGTTATGTCAATTTCACCATTCTAATTAAGCAGCATGAAGTTTCTATATATGCAACCAAGAAACTGTGCAATTCTTTTTCAAGAAATAAGAAAAGCTGATCTGATTTTCTTATTACAGTACCACTCATTTAGCAATGGACAAGCCTAAAAAAAGAAAGCAGTCCTATTCTTGCAAATTTAGCCTATTCAGCAGATATTGAAACAGATGATATTTAAACATGTGGCCCTTATATTCTCATAATGACAATTTTTTATTGCTTTTCTGGTTGCATAAAAGGGAGACTAACACAAAAAACAACCCAACATCTCTTAGAAGTAGGTTTTACTTTATGAGGGTAAACAAAAAGAACAAATATACATCTTATGTAACTTTTGGGTGAACTGATATATTATTTAAAAAAAAAAAAAAAAAGCATGGAGAAAAAAGACATTTCTTACTGTCAATTATAATCAGGGATGAGAATCCCATTTGTAAAATAAGTTGTACTTTATATTTTGGGGTCCAGGGGGACACATAGACCATGATATTTTTGGGTCCAAAAGAGACGGAAATCTGCCCAGAGCTGGAAAAATCTCATACCTGCATAATATTTTGAATTCAATCTGACCCATATCACACAATATATATGCTTATTAATAAGTAGATTCAATCCCATAGTAGCTAACGTTGATCTGAATGGACTGATATTAGATGTGCTCATGTGCACTGCCACTGTCATCAAAACAGCTGACTGCTGGGTATTTTATTTTATTTTAACTCAGAAGTTTGAGATGTAATTTTCATTTCAATGTAACCTACTTGTGCGTAATTTTCATTTCAATGTAACCTACTAGTGAAGAAAACGTTTAATTTCTCATTTTTAATGACCCAAAGTGACCAAGAATGAATGCCAAATGACAGGCCAGTTGTCTGCACTCATGGTATTATTTTTTTTTTATTCTAAAACAGGGCTGTACTCCAGGACGCAGAAAGGACATTAACCAGTATAAAAGGGGCTTAAGGAAATTCTCTGTTGTTGCCCTGGTTTGTATAAAGTGTGATATATTGAACCTTGTGTAAACAAGACAGATGGCAATCAAGTAGATTTAGACTTTTGTGATCTGGTTCATTTTCCATTTTTTTTTTCATCACAGACTCAGTGATAGTCAAGCATTTACTCAAATGTGCTGTTGAAAATTAGTCCATGTTGCCATGTATTCCAGCGTGTTGCTTTTCCCCAGTGTATTTTAAGTGCACAGAGGGAAATCTTTATAACAGATGGTTTCATAATTGAACGGAGTGTTTTACACCCACACTTTCCCCTATATGTTGACAGGTGAAGGTTAATAAACTCCAAAATCAAGTGTTAAACAACATTATTGATTTTGTGACAGCATAATTGCATTGTTAGCTTTCATGACAAAAAAAGGGACTCGGAATATCTCGGAAAATCAGAATAAGCATTCTGCAAAACCTTCTATTAATTGATTTCTTTAATCTAATTCAATCCATTAAAATGTCTATTAAAAGTTAGTGTCTTTGTCCAGCTTTAATATTATAGGCTGGTCTAACAAGAATTCTACAGCTTGTGATTTGTGCATCAAGCTGTGTTTAGATAGTCTTTAACGACACACATTAATTTGTAAAGTCAGGAAGTGAACACTTGATTGCTATCCCCCCTTTGTAAAACCTCTACAATCCCATTCAAGGCTCCGCGTGCTGACAACACCATGGGCGCCAACGCATTTACACACATTCTACATTTTATAAAGTGACAAATATTTTGTATTTGTACATTTTAACCCGAGCGATATGTGCCAGAACATTGCGAGTGTCAGCTAGAGGTGTTCGAGGCATATATATTGTGAGAGGCTGGCAGTGTAGTACGTTCAGAGAGAAAGTACTCACATTTCACTGAAAAACACCCCTGAAGCTGAATAAAGCATATATCACCACAGTCATAAAACATCATGTTTCAGGATTTAGGTCCCATTCTCAATGAAGGTATCACTCTACGTGGATCATTCCAGCCTGGTGGGAACTCTCACTGAATGCATTCAGATTAATGCAATGAAACGCCTTTTCTTGTCTCCAATACACTTGTATAATCATGGGTTTTTCGGATTGCATTCAGTGAGAGTCCCTGCAGAGTTGGATTGATCTACATAGAACAATAGATTCATTGGGAATGAACCCTTATACTACTGTCAATAACACATTCAAACATAGATCTTTAGTATGCAGTAAGTTTCACTGTACAGAAGCAATTCCCCCATTTTCTGCGTAATATGAAATTATGGGCATATTTGATCCCTACATTTGAATGAAGGTCAGAAACTGGATTGTGCAAATAGTACCCAGTTATATGATATAACTTGATAACTAGAAATGATTTTCTTTGTTATTTCAATTCATTTTGCATCAAATGAACATATCTGAAAAACGATAGGTTCAATCATAAAATTATGATGCTATCTTTGATGAATGGTTTCATTTTGCTGTTCTTCGTGGATACCTTATCAGAGCAGGTCATGTGGTTTAAATCATCTTATTCTTTTTTTTTTATTAGTGCTACTGTGTAAAGAGACAGGCAACCATCAATCATTTTTTAAATATTACAATTTATGCCCCCTGCTAAAAATTACATTGGTATTTTTGTAACTGTTCACTCAGCATAGGTGAAGTAGAAAAAATGGTGTAAATGTGTATGTGTATGTGTATGTGTGCGTGCCATGTACTTGGCAACAACCACAGATGTCACAAAAATTTATCAAAAAAATGCCATTAAAAAGTGAACTCCAATATTAATATTAAACCAATTATATCTGAGAAGAATCTTTGCAAAACAGATCACAGAAATTAAAACCTTCATGCTCTTGTACACCTAATCCTGGACTAAAAGATTCGTGAGTCTTTAATGGTAGTTTTCCTGGAAATATTCAGATAAGCATTTCTGGCGATAGTGCTGGCATATTGTCAAAAAAAAAAAAAAAAAAAAAAAAATCATTTAACCTCCTTAGATCAAGAACTTTTGCAGATGAAAGTACATATTTGTTTAAAAAAAAAAGATGATTATTGATCTTTCAAGAACAAAAGAAAGATATGACAAACTTCCAACACCATACAATCTCCTCAATGTCTGATCTCAAAAAGTCCCTAAAAATGGCCTTCAATAATAACCTTGAGGATTGTGACAAAGACATATAGCCTAGAAAAAAAATGTTACATGATATTACTGAAAAATCTTTCATGTTTCGCTAACTTGAGGGGTTCCACAGGGGAAAGGGATGACAGGAATTCCCAGAGCTTCAAAACATTACACTTGACCGCAAGATCTAAAGGGTGGGCTGATGGAAAGGAAATTACGGACATTAAAGTAGATCATGTAGCAATTCTATGCAATTAGGCTTCTTTTTGTAGCCATTTTCAGAAAAGCTTAGCAGTGAGAGGCAAAGTAACCATTTTTATGAGAACAGCATACTATTATAGGGACTACTATTGGGAATTCTCTGGACAGTACTTGGACAAAGTACCTTTTTGTAAAGGCCATCACCCATAACTTTGAGTAACCATGTATATTTTTTTCAGAATTTGACTTAGACCAAAGAAATGGTCTCATTCCTCACATTTTCATGGAAGATGAAAGTGGTACTTTTTGATCAGGGGAATAATACAGTAAATCACTGAGTTAGCTTAAAAGGACAGCAGCATTCCATTAAGATATTAATACTGACTGTACATGTCCATACTACATTTCAGATGCTAAAAGTCATTATAGGATACCAATTTTGTGCCACCAGATACATAAGATACCAGAAAATTTTTATCTGTGCTGAATTAGGGAGAAATGAAACAAATCATAGAAATGCAAAGCATTACTGGACTTGTAGAGAGAAGCCAAGGTAATGAATCAATACCTATAATATATGCTTTATGTGGAGAACAGACACAATATCCAAACAAACCATTGGTACTTCAAGGTGTTAACTTATAAATTAAAAATCCCTCTTATTACATTACCTTGTTTTTTTCTTCTTTTGAAAGATTCATCAATCTACCATAGTCCGTGATTGCTTTACAGAATTTATATAATTATTTCTTTCTGTGCATTAACAAAAAAAGATTGTTCTCAGAAAAATATTAGTCAATTTTGTTCCAATCCGGTCTGTAATTACAGATACAAATTCTCAAAATTGGAAATAAAACATATGATCTGCATAATAACAGCTGCAATACCCAAAAGCAATTCAAAATGATAGAACTATCTGGTTTATCAAATAATAAAAAAAAAATACAAAGTGTTTCTATTTCAATATTCAATGGGTTACAGAACACATTTTGTTGCAGAGGTGACTTCACAATTTAACACTCGATGTATGCTAAAGAGGGCTGTATAGAGAATTTGAAATAGCATTTCTGTATTTTGTATGTACGTGTGTGCTTGTGTGTGCTAAGAAACGAATCTAACAATATATTAATGACTGAATGTATAAATAAATCTTCAAACACAAAAACTAAAGATCAAACCATCAAATAATCAATACAGAATTTTAAAATACCCAAAAAAATCAAATTGCAACCATACCTTTGACAACCTTGGTATCAAACTTGGGCATATTTCCGGTGAAGTAAACATGAGGGCTTTGCGTTATGATGAAGGGGTCATTAGAATAATAGGGGTAACAACCTGAAAAACAAGAAATTATATAAATATACGCATATATATGTATACATTTACTAGAGAGAAGTAGCACACTTTAAGAAGGAATATTAAAATACAGCTATTGACAAGATTGTGCAGAGTCAGTGGTGATACTACCAAAATCCTAAATTGTGGTTCCAAGTCATTAATTGGGCAGTCTAGTCTCTAATCCATCATTCAATCATACTGCTGAAGTTTTCTGGAATTTAACAACTCTGGTTGCTGATCTTTATCTTTTTTTATTTGAATAAGCCTGCTGTAAGACACACCCACACACACTTTAATTTGAAGTTCACTTTTCCTGTTTACAGATTTTTATTAGTTAAAATATTCACAAGCACTTCCCAAAATCAGAAACGGAGCTTTTTAGACTAAAAGACCTAGAGAGAAAAGTTACACTGAAGATTCCTATTGCTTTTGAATAAGGCCTTAAATCAATGGAAATAACTCCTCCTGTAGCGTTCACAATCATTTCTACAAGTTCAATTCAGTACTAATCTGCCAGGTCTAGAATGAAAGAGAAATTATGGTGGATAAATTCTACACAATTTCAAACTAGCAAACCACAAAACGAGGAAAAAATGTACAATAAGTATCCAGATGCCTATTTGATGTCCTAATTGTCATCGTCTCATTTCTCAAAGCTCAATCAATTATCAATCCACATTACCAGTCCAGTGAAAACAGAAGATCACAGACAGCTTCTGCCCATTAACGAGTTTGCAATTGCTGTCGTATAATCATGAACTAAAATGATCCACCATTTGCAATGAAATTGCTTAATCAGATGTGGATGCAGTCTCTCCCTCATAATATGAAACCATAATTTAAGATATAATTTACCCTTGTTCATTGAAACTCCCCCTACTGCAATAGCAAATTGTGCGCAGGTGTCCGGGGAGATACAACAGGTGCTATGAGACTTGACTTCAATCAAGACAGGACAATGTCCACTATCAATATATATATTTGGCCAACTGAGCGTATCTCATTCAGGTGTGAGTGTACACAAAGTTGGGTGCAATAGAAGGAGTAACTAGTACTGAGATTTCTAATAAAAATACATACAATGGTGACACATGCTAATTTCACACCAAGCACATCACATTTATATATTTTTTTCATAAGATATTTCTGTATTTCTGTTAAAGTCAGAGCTGTTTGACAAATAATAATATTTTGTGACTTTCATCACAGAATTTTTTTTCTTTGGTGAAAAATATAAACACTTAAGCCAAGTAATCTTGGTTGACATTTCAATATGCTCCTTAAATAGGTCGCAAAGTTAAAGTTATTGGAAAGCATTTAGCTAGCACTCCTGGGATGCTCATCATCAATCATTGTTTTCTATATTCATATATCTCTTCAAATTGCTCAAAAGAGTTAGGCTATTGCTAGTTGGCTCAAATACCAGCTCATAAGTTATATACAGCTATAGACAAGCATGGAACAATGCAAAAGACAACAAGAGAGAGAGAGAGAGAATTACACTGTTGATCAAAGCATGTGTTTTCTAAATGAAACACAAAGTTGACTGACTATGCTGAAATTAGAATACATTATCTAGGGTATCATCTCCATTTAATTATTTTTTTTCCTGCAAGAGTAATAACACACATCCATGCCAAATGTATCCTTGCTCTCACTGCCATTCCCTATCATTTCTTCATTTGTATTTTACTTTTATTCTCCCACATCATCAGCATACACCTTCCATCATGGCAATAATTACATATAGCATTATGATCATGTTGAGAGAGAGAGA